GTTTTTTTGAGTTGGCTAGCTCAACTTCCCAACACTATTTATTGATAATAATTCTTTTCCCATTGATTTGCAATGTTTCCTATATCGTACATTAATCTTCCGTACAGAGCAGTCAGTTTGTGGTCTCCTTGTAATTTCTTTGATCTGTGCCAGTACCAAACAAGTTTAACTTTTGTAGTTCTATATGTTTTCGTATCTATTTAAAAGGTTAGTTCTTTTTTATTGTTCTTTTAACATTTTTTCTAAACAACTTCTGGATTTCAATTTTTCCAGTCAACTTGTGTATCATTCTGTCAAGTTAAAATTAATTTTATTCTTCACTGGTTATTCCTGAATGATTTCCAGCAACCCCTGGAGGCAGGAGGAGTGTATGCCATTTGGGTGTTGTCTGGGCAGTATTGGGGTCTCCATTTAAGGTTCTCCCCTTCCCCCTGATGCCATCTCATTGATTCTTTCTTTCAGCAAATAGTTTTGAGCTCCCGTGAAGTGCAAAGTTTTGTGCTAGGAACTCTGAGGACCACAAACACTGATAAGATACGACTCCTGCCTGAAATGAAGTAAATGCTTTACTCTGACTTCCATTGTGTCTTCAGCCACCTCTGGGGAAGCCCTTCTGTTTTTGATAGCATACCTGGATTCAGTTAGCCATGCATACACATCCCCTTAATAAGAAACTTTAGCCAGTCTAAAAAAAAATCATTCCAAAGAGTTAAAAGATATTTTTTCATCACACAGTTCCTGGGGCTACAGAAATGACATGGGTGAGGCTCAAGCCCTTTTCCCTACTTTCTTCCTGTCTTCTAAACTAAGCTATATTATTCTTTTTTATCTGACAGAAGAAAATCTTTCTTTCTTTTTTTTTTTTTTTTTAAGGCGCAAGAGATTACCTGAGGCTACTTTTAGGGGAAACATATATACTGTTGTCATATTGCTAATCTGATTCTCAAGAAAACACCACAGTGTAAAAGTAGTGTTCTGTCTGCTGCTTTGTAAACCGCTCTAGGGGCCATATGAGAAGAAAGCATCTCTCAGGCAGTCACTTCTCCAGAAGAGTCACAGAAGTCCGTGTTTTCAAGCAAGGATCAGCACCTCATCAGTATGCAGCACTGCTTCTACCAGCAGCATATTCAGGATTTCCTGAACAAATGCTGCAATTTCCTTTCGTCTCTGCGGAAACTAGATTAGTACAGCTTGAGCAGCCACCCTGGAATGAAGACCCTGTGCTGGGGCTAATGCTGCCAAGTGCAAGCATTGGGGTCAACCGGTGGGAGCCACGCTGTCATATACCTGTGTCATACAGGTTGATCAGAAGCTTTCATGAAGTTTTGGCTAGGCAGGGTGGGTCTCAAGAGCAGCTGCTCTGCGTCCCATGATGTTATTCTGTGACCTGTATATAGTAAAGCTTGGTTGTTGGAGGCCACCTTCTCTCAGTAGGTGATCACTTTTCCTGTCCCAGAAGGAAAGTGAGCTCCACAATCTCACTGTCCCTACTGTTACAATAAAGTGCTTGTTGGATGCAAAAATGATCATGGGTGTTTTCAATTTCTCTTCCTCCTTAGTCTCACAGAAGGTTTTTGATTTATTGCTAATTGTGCTTATTGATATAGCACTTCTTACATACATGTAAAATATTATATGTTGATTACTCAGCTTCGCATGTCCACTTACCCTTCCTGGATGCTCCAGCGGTCAGGTGCAGGCAGTTTCCTTCTGGCCTCTCTCTAGCTCACCTGCTCTTCCCTCTATGCCCTTGTAAATAACACAGATCCTTTCCTGTATCTTTTCCTTCCTTTTTTTCTGGGACATGTTCATACTCCCTTTCAACTGGTTGAAACAAACCAAAACCAAACCAAAAATAAATTAAAATGAGAAACCAAGCCAGTACCAAGCCAGCAGAACATATTTATGGGCCAAATTATGGGCTCTTGAATGTTGGACTTCTGCTTTTTCATATACAAAGCAATGTAGATGACATTGAAGAAAAAAAAAAAACAAAGTAAATGTTGTGATGATATAACACTAATTATGAAAATGGGTATCACAGTGCTTTATTTTTCGCTCTACCAATGGGAAACAGAAACTTCTGCTTCTACATATTTGGTCGTAGTAGAGTTTATTAGATAGTTTTGAGATTCTGACAACTTTGTTCACATTTCAACATAAAGTTCATCTGCCGGAGTCCCGGAGTCACTTTTTGTGTACTCAGAGATAATTGAATGCAGGGGTTTGAAAAGTTGTTAAGGCAGTTTCAGGAATTCAGCTATCTTCTCATGGTAGTAGTGAAGTGTGTATTCAGCTGCTTGACTCACTGCCCCATCAGGCGGTTTGCGTTTTTTGTGAACTGTAGGGACTAACCATCCCAGGACATGTTTTCAAAACCAGGCAAGTGCCTTCTTCCCAACTTACATACCGTAATCTCACTTAGTGGTCCTGATGTCTTCACAACAGCCAGTCCAGGCTCCCTGAGAATGGTTCATCACACATATCACATTTCCAGCAAAGCATTGCTTAGGACTCACTCCAAACTGTTTCAATAGATATTTTAGAAACACTAGGTCAGGGACAGTGGTTCATACTTGTAATCCCAGCACTTTGTGGGGCTGAGGCAGGAGGATTGCCTGAACCTAGGAGTTCAAGACCAGCCTGGGCAACATGACAAAGTCCCATCTCTACAAAAAAAAAATAAAGAAAAAATTGAAAATTTTTTTTTCTCTCTTACTTTAGATTTTATGCAAGTGTATCTAAATTCAGACCAAAGACGTGTTCTGAGAGAACTCTGCTTTAAAGGACTTCAAGATGGCTCTCTTTTTAGGCAATGAATACGACTATGAAGCAGTCACTCTACACTTGACCATTTTGCATGTCCAAAATTTTTCCCTAATAGATTTGCACAGAGGAATTTGATTATAATTTGGTTAACGCATACATTTCCTCTGCCAAGCGCACTTTGAGAAGCACTAGGTAAAGTACATGGATTTGGACACATTGCAGTTATCAGGTTTATAGCACATTTTCTATGCAGTAAATACGGTAAGACAAATGGCTACATTTCAAGATGGGTTATTATATATATATATATATATATATATATATATATATATATATAAAATCATGGAGAAATTAATGCTTTTTGTTTTTATCAATGTGAAAACATCAGTACTAAGAAATGAGGATGAAAAAGCTGATTTATTGTGTGCCTGTTATGTGCCAGGTCCTGGAGTAGGTATTTGAATGTCAAACGCAGTTCAGTATGGGATTTGAATCTGCTGGCTCTAAGGCTGAACTACCTGAGTTCGAATCTCAGCTTTCCCACTGCTCTGAGGATTCAGTGAGATGAAGTGTACAAAGCAACTAGGCCCATGCTGATGCGATAGCAAGAACTCAGAAAATATTAGCTGCTTATTATAACTTGTTCCATTTAATCCTGGGAAGTAGGCAGTGTCCCTCTTTTTTTTTTTTTTTTTTTTTTTTTTTGAGAAAGAGTCTTGCTCTATTGCCAAGCTGGAGTGTACTGCCATGATCTCGGCTCACTGCAACCTCCACCTCCTGGACTCAAGTGATTCTCCTGCCTCAGCCTCCCAAGTAGCTGGGACTACAGGTGCATGCCACCATGCCCAGCTAATTTTTGTATTTTTGGTAGAGATAGGGTTTCACCATGTTGGCCAGTATGGTCTTGATCTCTTGACCTTGTGATCACTCGCCTCAGCCTCCCAAAGTGCTGGGATTACAGGCATGAGCTGCCTGGCGGCAGTGTCCGTCTTTAATAGATGAGGAGACTGTCTCAGAGTTGTCCAGTAACTTGTACAAAGTTTTCAGCAGTATGTTGAAAAGGCAAAATTTAGAACCAGGGCTTGACTGGGCACTCTGATAAAAATACTAATGAGGGGTTCTTGTTCTAGGCTGCCAGGAAAATCTGTGCTGGGATTTTTCTATGATGGGAAAGACCACCCCTACTAGAATACTTTCCTCTACTGAGACAGAAAGTTACCCTTAAAGGTAGCAAATTCACAAATAAACATTTCTACATGGAGAAAAACTTTCAAAGGGCCAGATTCAGCAGTCAACTATTTCTTAAAGCTTTTTTTTCCTCCTGTGGACAGCAAATTCTCAGCTACATGGATAGGTTTTTTCAAAACCCGTGTGTGATTTATGAAACATGTCAAATGCACCAGTCCTCCCAATACCTCTGCTGTGTAATGTTACCATCTATGCAAATATCAACTTCTAATGCCAGCTTAAGGAAACTATAAGGATGATGTTCCTGTAGCAGCTGTAAGACAAACCTCCAGGGTTTTTGTGAGGAGGCAGGAAGGGAGTGGTTAGCTCTTTAACTTGATCACACCAGTCAGACTGGATTTCAGCGCTGTTTAAGTAGCTCTTCTAGTATGGGCTTCAACTGAGAACATCCCTGTTTTCATCCTCAAGGTTGTTTTTCTGCCCAGTGTTCTCATTGACCACGTCTGGGCTGGCTGCTGCAGGACAATGATTGAAGTTTTAGTAGTGAAAGAGTTCAATAGTGTTGACATTGAAACTGGAAAATCATTTTACTAATGTAGGATGATGCTTTGCTGTATTGAAATCTTAGACAAATAGATGATCCATAGTGCAAGATACAGTTAGGATTTAGCTTTTGTAATAAGCTGAGTCTGTTTTTCCTTTAGATGTATATGCAAAAGAGAAGATGAGTGAAAACTAACATTTCACAAGTGATATGGGTCTAATATGGCACAAAACAAGAAGAATTGGGGCTATCACATAATTTTCATTGCAGTTTACTTCCTAACACTTAGTCAAAATATTTTTCTTCACAACATTGTTACTTTCTGAATAACTCAGACACTTAACTATATTCTGCCATCTAAATTTATATCTGCAATAAGGCATGAAGTGTGTGCATCAAATTTTAGGCAAATGAAAAGAACTTGCCTTAGGATACTGTTATGGATGTGACAATTTAAGAAGCTACCCATCATCGCAAACTATTCTGTTTTCCTTTCCAGGGTTCAGCGGATTCGTACACAAGCAGGCCGTCTGACTCCGATGTCTCTTTGGAAGAGGACCGGGAAGCAATTCGACAGGAGAGAGAACAGCAAGCAGCTATCCAGCTTGAGAGAGCAAAGGTGACTCTCTTTCCCTCTCTTTGATTCAAAAGTGGGTCATTGCTCAGTGGCTACCAGCTGCTCTTCCCCTACCTCACATTTTTCTGGAATAATTGTTTTATGATTATTCCAATAAGGCTCCAGATTGGGAGGCTCTCTGATTCTTTCACCTCTAAGTGAGGTTAGTAACATCTCCAAAGGGGCATTTCCCGAAAATCTTCATCCGTTTATATTTGGTTTGGTGGTGAATTATTGGTCATCTTCCAACTTAGCAATATCAAGCCTCCCACGCCCAGTGTTGGCAGAGAGCCTCCCAGGTACCAGCTCACCCTGCCTGTTCTCGGCCCGTCCTCATCCATTGCCTCAGCCTTTATGACAGGCCACACCTGTGCTATTGCTCCGTGGCTCTCCCTGTTGGTTTCTCTGCTCTTCTCTCTTGCTTTCAGTATCCCACCTCAAGTTTAGTGTGAAGTTCAGAACTTTGAACAACTCTGAGAAGTGTAGCAAAGATGAGCAATAAAGACCATTGCCAAAATAGACCTTCAGATATTCCAGAAGGAGAGGCTTCCATAGGAAGCAGCAAAGAACCAATTGCGTGGTTGAAAGTTAGACCCAGAACAGTCACTAGGGATCTCCCATCTACAGGCTTCCAACTTTTTATTTATTTATTTACTTACTTACTTACTGAAGCACAGATGCCTTTTGTGCAATGACATTTTATACACAATAGCAAAATACAAGACCAGACAAAGTCATGGCCCATCTGTCCTCTTTGCCCTCCGTGAAAGACTCCTAAGGTATATTGATTCAGTCTTTCTGATTTTTCGAAGAAGAAAAAACAGAAGCCCAGATAAAGTGAATTCCTTCCTTTTTCTATTTTTATTGTAAAATCTTTAGCGGTGACAGGCTGTGTGTGGTGGCTGACACCTGTAATTCCAGCTACTTAGGAGGCTAAGGTTGGAGGATCACCTGAGCCCAGGAAATAAAGGCTGCAGTGAACTGAGATTACACCACTACACTCCAGCCTGGGCAAGAGCAAGACCCTATCTCAAAAAAGAAAAAAGGGGGCCAGGCATGGAGGCTCACACCTTTAATCCCAGCACTTTGGGAGAATGAGGTGGGCGGATCACGAGGTCAGGAGTTTGATATCAGCCGGGCCAACATGGGGAAACCCCGTCTCTACTAAAGATACAAAAAATTAGTCAGGTGTGGGGGTGCATGCCTATAATCTTAGCTACTTGGGAGGCTGAGCCAGGAGAATCTATTGAACCCAGGAGGCAGAGGTTTCAGTGAGCCAAGACTGCGCCTTTGCACTCCAGCCTGGGTGACAGGGCCAGCCTCTATCTCAAAAAAAATAAAAAAATAAAAAATAAAGAGGTGGGAGGAGAACAATGCAGGCAAATGGAGGTGTCTTCATTTTCTTCAACACCTATGACGTCTGTGCTTTATTGGTGGAAGGGGCTTTTCTTGTGGTATATGTAAAGGGACATCAGTGAGGTTCCAGCCTCAACTGCTGTTCCCCAGTCAGGTTCCCAGCATGAATAAATAAGCTGGTAACAAAGCAGGTCAGACTTTCAGGAACCTTATGTCTCGCTGTAGCTAACTTTTGTTATAAAATTTTCTTTCAGGATCTGTTTTGTGGCCATTGTGGTTACTCAGATGTGGGTGGTGGCACCATTCGCTTAGGCTGGTGGTTTACATGTCCCCACAGGGCAGTACCAGCCTGAGAACACTTTGCTGAGAGGAATTTGTGTAAAAAGAATTTCAAAACCAGCTTTGTTCGCTAGAGAGAAGATGATTTGTAAAGAGCCCTGCCCATCAGCTTTGATGCTGACTGACCCTTCTTTTCTCTGGCAGGACCAGGTATTCTGCTGTATAGAATACCACAGGTTTTCAAATCTGGATTATTTCAAAAATACTATTTTATCCTCTTTCCACATTTTTTTGACCTAACACATATTTCCTGTATTACAAGATAAGAAGGTATCAGTTATCATTTAAAATAAACACAGACTTTAAGATTGGAGAAGAGACTGTCCTTCTCCTCCGCCTTTGTCTATCCCTCCCAGTACTTCAGAGCACATTTTAAAATTTGAAATATTGGAATATGGGAAAGTATTGCAGGAGAGGAAGAATGATTGGGCTGATAGGACCAAATCATTTTCACAGTTATCTCTGCAGGTTTCTCGATATTGCCTGAGAATGTAAAACGCATTTGAGATCCTTCTTTGGAAAGTTATTTCTCTTACTACCTGGTATTATCGGTCATCTTATTAGAGTTTCAATATGAAAAATGATCCTCTCTCCTCCCTTCCTCATTCCTTATTCCATGGTTCTGTCCCTAGTCCAAACCTGTAGCATTTGCCGTGAAGACGAATGTGAGCTACTGCGGCGCCCTGGATGAGGATGTGCCTGTTCCGAGCACAGCCATCTCCTTTGATGCTAAGGACTTTCTACACATTAAAGAGGTAAATGTAGAACAAACTGCATCCCTTCACTTGCCAAAAAGCTGAACCTAGGAATCAGCTCTGAGCCAAACTAGCCCGAGAGGAGACCCTAGGAGCTGCCAGTGTAGTACCTCATTTAATTTGCTGAACCTTCCAAATCTAGTCATTCTCATTAAGATTGAGAAGTCTGAGATCATTGCTTGCATTATCACACACTTACAACATTAAATCACAGTCAATCTTAAAATCATAGCAGGGGGCCAGGCGCCAGTGGCTCATGCCTGTAATCTCAGCACTTTGGGAGGTTGATGCAGGCGGATCACAAGATTGAGATTCTGGCCAACATGGTGAAACCCCATCTCTACTAAAAATACAGAAACTAGCTGGATGTGGTGGTGCACATCTGTAATCCCGGCTACTCAGGAGATTGAGGCAGGAGAATCGCTTGAACTCGGGAGGTGGAGGTTGCAGTGATCCTGAGATCGCGTCACTGCACTCCAGTCTGGCAATAGAGCAAGACTCCATCTCAAAAAAAAAAAAATTATAGCATGGATTTTGGAGAGACCTCCGTGGTCCTCAGAGCACCTTTAAATCCCCTGTGTGACTGCAGAGCCATAGATGTATGGATCCAACCGAGGAAAATGTGAGTTTGGTGGCATGGCACCTACCCAGAAGGGACTATTTACAGGTGATGCTGTAATTATAGACATGTAGACTAGAGTCCTGTGCACCTCGACCATGGAACCAGCAATAAAGTGTATAATCATTCAAAGAAAAATTTATATCTAAGAAGCTGCATCATGTCAGAGATTTTGCTAGGCACTGGGGGATCAGACATAAGGATCACTGTCCCCGCTGGCAGGGAGCTCCAGCGGGGTGGAGAGACAGACAAGTACAGAGTTTATGCACGAGACGACAGGTTCTATTACAGAAAAATCGAATGGGTGTTGTGGGAGCCTGAGGAAAGAGGAAGAGGGATTCTCTGGCTGAGGAGGGAGGCGATCGGGGATGGGAAAGCTCTACAGAAGTGGTGAACTCTGAGGGAATTTGGGCTGGGATGTGGGTGGCATCACATGGAAGGAACAGCCGCAAGCAATGTAGTGTGGCTGGCAGGGATGGGGGCTGGGGGATGTGGGGGATTGGGGGTAGGCAGGGGCAGGAGAAGGAATGATTCAGGTTGTGGGCCAGGCCAGAGAGGCAGTGACCAGACAATAAAGGACCTCTTGGACCATGGCAAGAAGCCTGCCCTTTATCACTTGGCAGTTAGCTGGAGAAGAACTTTACATAAATGACAGATGTGACCAGCCTTGTGTCTTAGAGTGAGAACTCTGGTGGGCAAGGGAGTATTGCAGAGAGCTGGAGAGTCACACTACAGGCTGGGCAGTGGTTGTAGCAGAGACGATGAAGAGAGAGAGCAGCTTAGAGAGAGGGAAGGGACAAATAAACAGGACTTAGAGATTTCACATGGGTGGGGAAAGGGACATAGAAATGAAGGCCAGAGGCTAGTTTTTCTGGCTTGCTTAAAAGGATAGAGAGTAGTATCAGCTATCAAAATAAGAAGTTAGAGGGAAGCAGATTTGTAGGAGGGATAGATATGAATTTGCTTTTATGTACACTATGTTTTGGACATTGTAAGACTCCCCATGAAGATGCTTAAAAGACCCTTACCCACGTAACTTAGAATCTAGAGGAGAGGAATTGCAATTTGTTCTTTTGAAATAATTTGAGTTGAAAAAGAGAATGGTTTCTAGACAGGGAAAAATAGCATAAGGTTGAAGAAGTATTCTTTTTTTCTTTTCTTTTTTGAAACAGAGTCTCAAAAATGAAAACAAAAACAAAAAACAAAAAAACCAGGGTCACTTTGTCACCCAGGACTGGAGTGTAGTGGCTCAATCATGGCTCACTGCAGCCTCACCTTCCAGGCTCAAGTAATCCTCTCGCCTCAGCCTCCTGAGGAGCTGGGACTGCACTGCATGTACCACCATGCCCAGATAATTTTTGTAAAATTTCTTGTAGAGACAGGGTCTCCCTATGTCACCCATGCTGGTCTCTCCTGAGCTCAAGTGATCCTCCCACCTTGGCCTTCCAAAGTGTTGGGGTTACAGGTGTAAGCCACTGTGCCTGGTTGAGGGGGGCTGTTTTTAAAATTTGATTTACATTTGTACTTTTTAGGATGGGAAAGACTGAAGCATGTTTTCTATGCTGAGATGCTGAACTCAGTAAGATATGTTGGAAGGAAAAATGACAGCTAATTAAGTGAGAGGAGGAGATGACATCTGGAGAATGGGCACAAGAATTAGGCTGAGTCAGGTCAGCCTTAGCTTCCTGAACTTCCCTGTTCTGCACAGAGTTTTCCAGTGGGGTCAGTGACATGCACTGGTTGATGTTCCCATGTGGTACCATTTGCTCTGTGGGATGGGGCGGAGGTATTGGAAATAGAATCTTAAAGAAAGGAGAGCATAAAGGAGGAACAATAAAATGTACCCTGAGAATGGAGGTGCCTGGAGAATGTAATCAGTGTAAACGTATCATTTAATGTCATGGAGCCCATCTGTACTTATACCCCAGCTAAGACAAGGTGTGCATCATAAATATGTAATCAAATCATTATCTTTGAAACTCTGCATTCTGTAGTCCAGACCAGCAGCGTGGAGGTCACTGGGGCCATTGTCTGTGGAATTGTGGAGATGGAGGCCCAACAAAGTGGGATGAGGAGAGAAGGGGAGCTAGAAAGGGTATGTGGAGACCATGCCTTTTAGGTTGGCACTGCTCAGGCAGTAGATGAAGGAGGGTATGAGGTCAAAAGAGGTCTTCTTTCAAGGTGGGATCTTATTCGATGCCTGTACTTGCTGATATTAACAAACAGAGTTGGGGAGAGATTGGGGGAAAGGAGAGATAGGTAGAAGGATGCAGTGCTTGAGTAGCCAAGAAGGGTGGGATCTAAGATCCTAGTGTAGGGACAGACGTTTGATAGAAAGAAGAAGGCTAATTCATTGTGACATACAGGGAAAAGACCAGTGCAGGCATGGACACTTCAGGGCCTTAGTAATAGGAAACTGAGGACCCATCAATTTCAATCATAGCTTCTACTTCCTTGATGGTACATGAGGTGAGAATGTCTACATTTGTCTGGAAGACAAGAACTCTTGACCTGAGACATATACCCTGGCATCTGAATGGTTAAGTTGATTATGTCTCACCATTCCCATCAAAAATGCCCAAACCGTATTCATTAGTTGCTAACACCCACTATGTCCAAGGAGAAGCAGCACTTTAAAGGTAAGAGATGTTCTTACATGTCACATGCACGCTCACTCACACCGACATTCCAACCTTATACTTTATTGCTTTCCTGCATTGTATCAATGTCTCAATTTGTCTTGGCTGCTGTTTCAGCTATGTGCTTTTTCTTCAGTCTGGCAGTTTGATGTGTGGCGTTGAGCTGGTAATCCTATGTGGACCAGAGCTGCCTGCTTTCCTGTTTTGAAGTTATCAGATAAGAAAACATCTTTGAAAGAGAAAGTGCTAATCATTTTAAGGAAATCAAAATAGAGAAGGGTTGGAACAACCCCTAGGTGACCTCTGTAAAGAGCTGGCACAAGCTCCCAGAACATCAACACAAAAGAACACATTTCTATAATCAAGTTGTAGCCTTTCCTCTCATCCATCACTTAGGAGGCCATTTATTATGCACCCTGTTAAGTACTTTCTCAGTAATAAAAAAGCTTAAATGCAGAGAAAAGCTACAACTATGCTGTCACACAAGTCAAATCATGATCAAATTAAGCTCTCGAATTTACAGTGACTTTTTCCCAAGTAACCCAAAAAACTTTCATTCATCCTGAGTCAGATTCTCACTGTACTTCAGCTGTTTCCTAGAACTAAGTGAAAACATTTGGGGAAGTTGCATCAACCATTTCAGCAAGCCCTTTAAAGTCACTTGGGTACCATTTAACAAATGAGTGTTCCAGCGGGCTAACTTCATTTCAGGAAATAACTTAAGCCCCAGGAAACTATGACTCATGGTCTGTTTTGTCCTCACCACAGTAAAATTTAAATTCCAGACCTATGCACCCAAGATTCTAACAGGGTCCCTTTGCCCTTTGCTGATTCCAGAATAAACAGACCTATTATTTTAGGCCTGTTATACTAAAAGACAGGAAAATAGGGGAAAACAGTTAAGACCTAGATTGTTCAAGATTTTATATCAGGTCAATTCACATTTCTTTTCTTCTTTTCTTTTTTAATTTATTTTATCTTATTTTTGGAGACAGGGTCTCAGCTCTGTTTTCCAGGCTGGAGTGCAGTGATGCAATCACAGCTCACTGCAGTTGTGAACTCTTGGGCTCAAGTGATCCTCCTATCTCAGCCTCAGCCTCACAAGTAGTTAGGACTGCAGGCATGCACTATTACACCCAGCAAATTGTGTGTGTGTGGGTATGTGGGTATGTGTGTGTGTGTATAGATGGCTCTGTTACATAGATGGCACTATTACACCCAGCTAATTGTGTGTGGGGATGTGTGTGTGTATCGATGGCTCTGTTGCCCGGGCTGATTTTGAACTTCTGGCTTCAACTAATCTTTCTACCTTACCCTCTGAAAGCTCTGGGATTACAGGAATACACCACCATGCCCAGCCCTCCTTTGAATGCAATCTCATACTCTATGTCACTCATATAGTATGCATGGAGAAGCTGTGTGTATAACAGAGGCCAAATTCTTACCAAACCATGTTTCTCATGAGTGGGAAGCTGTTACTCAGAATAACTTAAAGTTTACCCAAAACTTCATGCTGTGATAATTCAATGAAACCTTCCATTTCTCCTTCATAATGTGTCAGAATCATATATATATATATATATATATATATATATATATATATATATTTCACCTTTCTATGAGCACAGCAAAACATGCTGCATATCAATGTTACATTTTGGAAAATATTTATGTTTATAAATATATATGTTTTGGATCAAAGTAGGAGATAATTATCTTGTTCAACACTGATAAAAACAGTAAAGGAAGTTTTTAGAATCATCTCTGGAGAGTTTAAACAATAGAGGTGATACCTATCTTGTAGAAATGACCTAGCTGAAACCTTTCTTTGAGGCAGGGAGATTGAGTTAAATTGCTTTCTGCTCTATAATTCAGCAGATGTATAGTTACAAATGCAATTTTACTGATCCACCAAATAAGCCCCCATTTGACAGGCTCTCACCTCACACTGGTTGAGGGCTTCACATGGGCTTGGGTCTTGAGTTTATGTGTCATGGAACTTAACTTACATGGAAATTCTGGAGTTCCTTTTGGGCTATAGAGGTTTTGGAGGTTACTTGCAAAATTTCACATAAAAAATATATAATATGCTCAGACTTTGTAAGAGTAGGTTTCTTTTTCTTCAAGTAGTAAGATGGACCTTAATCTGCAAGTCTATATTTGAAAGATTATGACTCTTCCCCAGCGACAGTAGACTACACATAGTATCATGGAATTTTTACCTGAAAGCATTTAACAAATTATGAACTATAAAATCTGTTTCATCTCAGGCATATCCATCCTAGTCTCCTAGAGCTCCAGTTACATTGGTGCATATTTATCTGTGGAAAATATGTTCTTTAAGAATTAGTTAGAGCTTCTTGACAAAGACCAAAATAATACAAATGTTAGGACCGGATATTAGTCCAGGGGTTTACAAACTATAGCCCATGGTTCCAGTCTGACTACTGCCTTTTTTGTAAAGAAAAGTTTTAATGAAACACAGCCATGCTCCCTTGTTTATGTTTGTCTGTGGCTGCTTCCACACAAAGCAGCAGATTCAACTTATTGTAACAGAGACCACATGGTCTACAAAGCCTAAAATTACTTGGACCTTTACAGAAAAAGTCTGCAGAACCCTGCTTTAGTCTATGAATCCACCTCAGATACACACACACACACACACATGCACACACACACCACACACACACATACACACACACAGTATAGTTTATATAAAATGTAGTATAATATCATATCATATAAATAGCACTTTGTTTTGTCCCATAAGATTAATAGACAGCATGTGAAGATAAGTGAATTACTATTGATAGCAATTTTATTTCTGAATTCCAGAAATATAACAATGATTGGTGGATAGGAAGGCTGGTGAAAGAGGGCTGTGAGATTGGCTTCATTCCAAGTCCACTCAGATTGGAGAATATACGGATTCAGCAAGAACAAAAAAGAGGACGTTTTCACGGAGGGTATGTTTCCATCTTTTCTTTGCACTTTTTTTGGTCAGAAAATTGGGGGATATTGTCAAAGGTGTATGCTTTCAAAGTACAAGATATTTCTCTGTGCGGGAGGTGTTTCTGAAATTAACACAAAAGAGTTTCAGACAGTTCTCTACCTTCTGTGCATGCTGAAGCCTGACACCACTGGAGACCATGTGAATTCCATGGCAGGAACTGTTTTCTGTGGCCTCAGCAAGCCCTCGGAACCCAGGCTTTCCTCTAGGAGAGTCACTTCAGGCATTCTTTCTCCACACAGTGAGTGGGAGCTGACCTGATCCAGCATTATGGCTCCTCTTGGAGACTCTCCCTTAACCAGGCACAGAATGTGATTGTACATGTAGGTCCTGGACTAGAAGCACCTTCTCCACTCCAGGCTTTTTCTGGCATCTGTTGTCTTCTGGTATTTGGTTAAAGACAGCTTCAGGTGAATCATCCTCTAGTGAACTACTGAAGTAGCCATGTAGACCTCAGAGTGCAGGTATTTAAAGGTCCCAGGAACACAAGCATAGCTTGAAAGAAGAGAAACCAAATCATCCTGAGCCTTCCTGTATTGTGTTACAGCTTCCACTGAATCGTTGATTTGATATGTTATAATTTTTTGAAAGCTCTAAAATAGAAGCTGTTTTTTCTCTTGACCCTCAACTTCTGTTTTCTATTGGATGCTTTTCTATTTCAAAAAACTCCCATGTTCTTTAGGGGCCTGCCTTTGTCATAATGAGAACCACTCCAACAGTAATAGGAGATCACAAAAGTATAGTTACCCCACTTTTAATTATTAATCTTTTTTGGCATATAACTTGCTAATACCATTATTAATATTAATCCCTTTTGTCCCTTGTATTAGTCCATTTTCACACTTCTATAAGACTGCATAACTTATGAAGAAAAGAGCTTTAATTTTCATGGTTCTGCAGGCTGAACTGGAAGCATGGCAGCATCTGCTTCTGGGGAGATCTCGGGGGAGTTTTACTGGCAGCAGAAGGCAAAGCGGGAGCAGGTGTCTTACATGGCCAGAGCAGGAGGAAGAGAGAGAGCGGGGGAGGAGGTGCTACACACTTTGAAACAACCAGGTCTCGTGATAACTCACTCACTATCACAAGAATAGCACCGGGAGATGGTGCCAAACCATTCATAAAGGACCACCCCCATGGTCCAGACACCTCTCACCAGGCCTCACCTGCAACACTGGGGACTACATCTTAACATGAGATTTGCTGGAGACACAAATCCAAACTGTATCATCCTTTTTTTTCCTAAACTTTTTGTCTTTCATGCTCCTTCTTAAACACGTGGAGAACATGTGTTCCAGTCTTGGGGTCTTTGCAGTTCCTGTTTTTTCTTACTGGAACCTTTTTCATCACATTTTCACCAGACCACTCCATCTGCTTTATATCTGTGTTAGACATCACCTTTCCAGTGACCCTTTTCCTGCCAACTGTATTTAAAATTGTACCTACTTCCCTTTCCTGTTCTTCCCCTTCCTTCCCTAACTTAGTTTTCTCTATTGCACTTACTCCTCTTAGCAATATTATCTATTTACTTATTTATGTTGTTTCATACAAGCTGAGCATCCATAATCTGAAAAGCTGAAATACAAAATGCTCCAAAATTCAAAACGTTTTGAGGACTGACATGATGCCCAAAGGAGATGCTCATCAGAGCATTTTAGATTTCAGACATTCGGATTAGGGATGTTCAAGTAGTAAGTATATAGTGCAAATTTCCAAAATCTGAAAAACGTGGAAATGCAAAACATTTCTGCTCCCAAGCATTTTGGATAAGGGATATTCAACCTGTATTGATATGTCCCATTAGCGTATGACTCAGTAAGGGAGTGGATTTTGTCTCCTTAATGCCGCTGTTATATTTCTACTTTCTAAAACAGGGATGTACAATCGATATTTGTTGAATAAAATAACTGAATTATTATCATTTTCAAAGTTTTGTTGTTGTTATTATTTCTTAATTGTTACAATCATGGGCCATATAACATTTTTGTCAGTAATGATCACGCATATGATGGTGGTCCCATAAGATTATAATACTGTATTTTTATTGTATCTTTTCTATGTTTAGATAGAGAAATGCCACTGTGTTCGAGTTATCTATGGTGTTCAGTATAGTAACATTCTATATAGACTTGTAGCCCAGGAGCAATAGGCTACATGATATAGCCTGGGTATAGAGTAGGCTGTGCCATCTAGGTTTGTGCTCTGCAGTGTCCACACGACAATGAAATTGCCTAATGACACATTCCTCAGAAGATAACCCCATTCTTAAGCCTCCCATGACTGTATAAACTTTTTTTTTTCTGAGACAGAGTCTTGCTGTGTCACACAGGCTGGAGTGCAGTGGTGCAATCTCGCCTCACTGCAAACCCTGTCTCCCAGATTCAAGCGATTCTGCTGCCTCAGCTTCCAGAATAGCTGGGATTACAGGCACATGCCACCACGCCTGGCTAATTTTTGTATTTTTACTACAGGTGGGACTTCACCACTTTGGCCAGGCTGATCTCAAACTCCCAACACCAGGTGATCCGCCCACCTTGCTCTTCCAAAGTGCTGGGATTACAGGCATGAGCCACCATGCCCGGCCAACTATATATACTTTTGAACTAAAAACTTACCTCATGGCAGGCACAATAGTAAAGCCAAGAGCTCACAGACATTTTATTTGATCTTTATACCAACCGTGTGAGCTGTGGCATCTCCTTCTGTAGGTGGGGAGTGTAAGGCTCAAAGACATTATGATGTGCCACAGTACCACAACTAGTAAGCAGCAGAGCTAGGCTGAGAGATCAGATTTTTCTGACTATAGGGATGACACTCTTAAGGACTAAAAGAGAGGCGCACTGGGGAAGTAGGGAGGTGGCAGCTCCCGATGGCCTTTGTGGGCTTCAGGGAAGCTTTTAGAGCACACCTGAGAAGACCAGAGTTGAGGATCTTCCATTCAAGTAAATAATATTTTTTTTGTGACCAATTCCTCATGGTCAGTTCTTAACTCTGATGCCCGACTGGCATATTGGTGCCTGGTGTTAGGTTAACAGTTCATAAGAACATTTCTGTCAGTGATGGCTTTGCCTGACATCTACATTGAGTAACTAGAAGAGATGCTTTTGCAAAGTATTCCAGGTCTTGGCTAGTTCCCCACATTCTCTTAGAAATGAGGCCAAAGAAAACATTTGGACAGATTCTTGAAGTTCTTTATAGCAGAATTTTGTGTGTTTTGAATTATTTAATAGATGAAGGACAAAGAAGGTTTTGTACTCTTAAGTTCTGTTTTCAAAGAATTGGGGGAGTGATTCTTTAGTTCCTTTTCTATATCCTAGGAAATCAAGTGGAAATTCTTCTTCAAGTCTTGGAGAAATGGTATCAGGGACATTTCGAGCAACTCCCACATCAACAGGTGAGAGTTTAGTTAAACTCTTTTTCAGAAAATGTATTCCTTTCCAATATATTTGAACATAGATGCAACTATTTTTGCTAATTTGGAAATGATTTGAAGACTTAATTTAAGGATTTTTCTCTCTAGTATTTAATTTCTCATTTGTTTTCTATGTTAATTTGATTTGATTTAGAGTGACTATTGGTACTAAAAATTCAGGTCATTATAATGTAATTTTGAAAAATCTTATTTAGCGCCCCTCGAGTTAATAACTGTCCATTGTGTAAACTGATCTTCAAAACATTCATTATTTTCCTAAGAAACTGACAGACTTTAAGATGGTGAGGGCCAATACAAAAAGGAAAAAATGTTGCAGACTCTGAAGAAAATGCTCTGTTTTCAGTCTCCATCTGGAACTTCGGGATGTATTGGTACAGCCTGGGCTGGGAGGGTTGAAGCAGAGACTCAGGCAGGGGCCAAATGAGGGAGGGCCTTGTTTCCATTTGGACAGCAGGCATCTGAGCCCTGGAATTAACGGTAATGAAGAGACCAGTGGTGGCATAATAGGGAGTTGTGGTGCATTTGGAAACCGTAGAGATATTCATGCAGGAATTTTTCTTCTACCACATTCCCTGACTCCTATTGGCTAATTTCATTCTGGCCCACAACTGCTGCTGCATTAGGGCATCCAGGGCCCTGCTTACCACTTCCAGTTGTATTACCAATTCGGAATGGCAAGTCCAAGGCCCTATTCTGGCGTACCAAAACTGCAGGCAACTGGATTGGTTCTGGAATGGTTCTAAGTATCTGGGTCCTTGTTCATGTGAAGCCCTCTGACCTACAGGACACTGAAGCGAACCAGGTTTCTGAGTTGTACCCAAATAGACTGGACCTGCTCAGGATGCCCACAGAATCACTTTGAACCAGAGATCGAGTACATTTTACCTTGTTCCCATTTGTTAGACGTTCAGGGCATTGCAGACTTTAGCTATTACAAACAGGAAAGAACAGGAATAACTGGTTATAGGTTTATCTGAGGCAATAACTAGTTATAAATTTATTTGAAATTTAAAAGCAGCATGGTAGGAAAAAATGTGCCAATATTCTAGAAAATAGGCAAAAATGTCCAAGGGGCTGCAGAATTATCTCGTGGATTATCAAAGTTACAAATATAAAAATAACTAGTGATTGAGGTGATAGTCATTTGTGCCCAAATAGTTTTTCTGTTTCCTTCTATGAAATTGCATTTGTCCAACTTGTTTCCAGCAACACTGTGCTGTGTTCAGCACGAGAACAACCCATGGTGAATGACTAACCCGGAGCTTCCAATGTTGTTCTGAACTCCTGTCCCCACTCCCACCCATTGAGAAATCAGGATATAAGGTCATTTGTACCAAGGAGGAAGCTGTCTCGGTTTCATACATCTTCAAAATTGACATGTCCAGAATGAAATCACAAAGCAGGTTCTCCAGAGTGGGCGATAGAAAAGTGGTGAAGATAATTACAGGGACAAATGGGTGCATTCTTCAGTCTCTTAAACTCGTGTACTGTCATTTGCAGAGATTACATATTTTGATATGGCTTTCATTATTGTCTTTTAGCAAAACAGAAGCAAAAAGTGGTAAGTTGTATTTCCTTTTTAAATCTACTGTTAAGGTTCCTATACATACATGCCTGCAATGCTCCATCTCAGTGACCCAAGTGGCTATAAAATAAGGGAAGAGCCTCCTCGGTGGGGACCTTTGATAATCATTTGTCATTCGACCTGAGAATTGTGAATGTTGTGGCTGCTGAGGCATGTTCAACCTCACCTTGTCACGTGTGTCAAATCATCTTTTTCAGACGGAGCACATTCCTCCTTACGATGTTGTGCCATCAATGCGTCCGGTGGTGTTAGTGGGGCCATCACTGAAAGGTTATGAGGTACAAATATCATCTGTTACTCTTCAGTTCTTGATCGACCACCCGGGAAACAGTCATGTTGGCAATTGCTCCTTCAGGGTCTGTTTCCACATGGGTCCTGATGGAAGCCAATGCTCAGCATGGGAAGGGAGGGGGTACCGTGGAGGGCTCATGAGGCCCTTTGCCCTTTCTTTCCTTCCTTGCACACTTCTTATCTTTTATATATTATATTGTTTAGAAATACCTCCCTGAAAATATTCACAATGGGATGATCTGGTCAAAGATTTACTGTGCATTAAATACAAAGAAAGGGACTTTATCTGTCTTGACCATTCTCACTATTATTAGAAGTAATAGAGAATGAACAGCACCAGGGGACAAACAATCAATCTTCCAGCAAATCCAAACCTTTAAAGCACTAACAGAGCTCACCCTGCCGGCTGTTTAAGATGATGCCACCAAATGCTTCTTGCTTATTTATTTTAAAGGGCACATTTTTGAAAAGACCGCTAAAAACATTAGTGAACTTTGGAGATTAAACAAAACCTTGTGACAAGAAAGAGAGTAGAGACTTTGTTTCAGATGTTTCTGTTTTGACCTTGTGCTAGCATGGATGAAAAAATAGGTAGATGTGACATTGAACTCTGAAGGTGAGCAGTCTCCAGGGCACCATTCCCATTGAGCTGGGACAATGTGTGGCACATAGTGGGCACTCAGTACACATTTGCTGAATGAATTAATGAATCTCTTTCAGGCACATCTAAGAATCCTCGCTCTCTCTCCCTCTCTTTCTCTCTTGTCTTTCTCTGAGTTAGAAATGTCAGAGGGATGAGCAGGAGAGTAGTCTACAAAAATCCAGCCATGGGCATGGAGAATTTCCACCAACATGCACAAACCAGCAGGGCCGCTGAGTCCAATGCTGGCCTCAATTCTCTAGCTGCTCCTCACTGGAGGCAGGCACAAAGCAGGTGTGCCAAGAATACCTGGCACCTGTGTTCAAAGCCAGCCTTTTGTCTCCTGGCAGCAGTTCTATCCCCTAACAAGGAAAGAAGAAAGAGGGTCTGGTGAACACTGCTAGTTTATTCCTCAACACCATGGAGGAGAACCAGGGATGGGGTGGGGGGTGGAAATTGGCAATTGCACATGGTTAAGCGTGAAAAACACCTTCCATGGTAACCTGCCCCTAGGAAACGACTGGCTTGGCTCATAGTGCCCTTCCCTCCTTCCTCTCTCTCACTTTTGACTTCTCTCTCTCTCTCTCTCTCTCTCTGCGTGTGTTTGCCTCATTCTTTTTTTCTCACCTCTGCAAAGGTAACAGACATGATGCAGAAAGCCCTCTTTGATTTCCTGAAGCACAGGTTTGATGGGAGGTGAGACATATAGATGTTTTTGTATTTTTATTTTCCTTTAACCAAACTTGTATGATAAATTGAATTGTAGATCTATGTTTCCAGAGATTTCAGAAGTTCTCTCGTGAAAAGTTAATTCAATATTCTTGGGAAGAATATAATAAAAGAGCTCTGAAAATATGAAGTATAACATTAAGGCCCAAAGGAAAAAAGGACTATGAGAAGAAAAATAAGCCATTTGTTTCGTTTTAATTTATATGTCGTTATTATCTCAGTTATTAACAATTTCATACCGAAATGATTTTTATGAAAAAATATTAATTAAAACATATAATATTTCTGATGAATATAGTGGCTTGCTGGTCAGGCTAGGCAGTATTTGGGAATTGTGCATGTGCACGTGTGTGTGTGTGTGTGTGTGATATGAAAATATAAATATCAAGTACTGAATTTCCTCAAAAGAAGAGAGTGAGAATTCTTTACATCATAAACCTTCCAAAGTGATCATTTTGTAGGGAATAGTACTTATTTGGATGTTTATTATAGTTGTGGGCTTGTTTTTATTAGAAGCGTCCTTGTTATTTTATTGATCTATTTTTTAATGTATCTTACTATGATCCATTAACAATATGACTCAGGCATTAGCCATTAAACAATTTTATCATTTAAGTTTTGTGAAAAATGTCTAGAGAAAGTTTCTGTGTTTTGCAGAGAAATGGTAAAAAGCTTGAATTGACTCAATCCTACATATTAAGCTCTTTCACAAGGCAGAAAGCAGTCCATGTAAAAATAACCACATGAAAAAAACCTGAAGACTTACCAGAAATATAGAAAATTTAAATAGTGTGCATCAAAAAGTATGGGTAAATGCATCTAATTTATCACTGTAGGATTGAGGAAGAACATGACATTTTTTATTTTCAAAGGCAGTAATTGAGACACTCACTCTCTCTTTGCTAAATTATGACAATGCGCTAAATGCATGGAATTTTATGTAAAAAATCTTCAGATAGATTTTAATAAATTGGTATATTAAGAATAAAAACAAATAAGATATTGCTTTACATATAAATTGTATATATTTGTTAAAATAAAAGCTTTCTGGATAATTGGGTTAAATATTCATTAGTTTCTGGAATTATATAGAAAGAAAGTAAACTGAAATTTTAGCTTACCTATGCAACAATCTTGCATGTTCTTCACATGTACCCCAAAACCTAAAATGCAATAAAAAGAAAGAAAGAAAGAAAGAAAAAAAGAACAACAACAACAACAAAGAAACAAGAATGCTTCTAGGTACGTTAGAATATAGATCAGCCTGCCTTAATGAATAGACCCCAAAATGTGTAATGTTTCAAACACAGTGGAAGCTTATCATTGTTCACTTAACAGTCTGAGGGAAATGTTCCTTAGCTGGGAGGGAGGCTGGAGTGGGGAGAAGGGAGAATTAGACAGAAAGTTTGTTCCCTCTGTCATTTGGAGCCCTTAGCCCAGGTATGATGTCTCCAGTCAGCTTGGTGGGCCTGGAGGCAGTGTACTTTATTACTCACATTTTACTGATTAGAACTTGGTTATATGGTCATACTTAATTGCAACAGAGGCTGGGAAATACAGTCTTACAGTCCCGGAGGAAGAGGAGACAGAATTCGTTGAACCAATAATGGCCTTTTTCAAATTCATCTACTAGACAAAGGCTTAATAAGAAAGATGTATTTATTCTATTCAACTGTCTTTAAAAAGGAAATAGGCAGATAATGAAGTAGCTTCAAAGAAAATAAATTAAAAGCCCTGAATGCTAGAGCATTGGAGTTGGAAAAATATTTAAAATTTCTTTTAGACTAATCTCCCTTCTCCAGCAACTACAGTCAGACAACCTACTTCTGTTTGAAACTTTTGGCTTTTGGAAATTCACTTTCTAAAAAAGCATTACAAAGAAACAGACGAACTCTGACTGTCACTTAATAGGGTTGGTCTTGGTCCTCCTCTCTGATGTTCTGGCCTTAACTCTAACCCTCATGCAGGTCCCTGTGGATTGAAGGCAGCCAACGTGCATGGGGCCAAGTCTGTGTTCTTGGTGGCACAAGCACGGTTCCTTCGGATATGCATGGAGTCAAATGGTTCAACCAGTGGGGCAGTTACCTAAGGCAGTTCTGAGCAGTGCCGAATCCACTGGCCCCATAACAGCCCTGCCTGAACAAATCCCATCCATAAGACAGCCTACATTTGTGTTCGGTTATTTTGGTCTATAACATAATTACACACAACAGTGTTGTTAAAGGTTTGCCTTCAAGAATGAAGAATCTGATGTTCTTCCTCAATCCTGAGGCCCAGAAAAAGGGAATTTATTTAATTGTAACAGCAGAGATTTGTACTGAATCAAGTATAATTGTCTGCATCTGTTACTGTACACATACTATTGAAGTTGGTTTTAATAGAAATAGAAGAAAAATTTCAATAGCAAGTGTTCATGGGGTCTGATGACATGGCAAAGGATCTGGAAGAAGGGCCCAGCAGCAGCAAAAGTAATAGCTGAAGATAGAGACGTAGCCCTGGAGCAATCTGATGTATGGCAGGGCTGGAGAAAGATAGATAGATATTAAAGGGGTGACAGAATGGACTTGATTTAAAATATTAAGAGGCCAGGCAGCAGAATAAACAATAATGAGTTCATTGGTTGATTGTATGTGGAGAGTTTGATAAAAAAGAAGAGATTCGATAGTAGCTTCGCACTGACTCTGACATGTCTTCTTCGTGGGGAGTATTGTTAGATATTGAGCTATAACATTATGCTGCATTATGTTTTACCAGTTGATACAAGGAGAGAAAAACAAAAATAGTCTTTAATTGAAATCAGCCAAGCTTAGAACAGTGACAGGCTTTAGCACAGTGATACAGCATAAACAATATGTTCTAATGGAAACCTACTCTATGTTTCATGGGCTATGAATGCAGTACATTAGGCAAAATAGGAGAAAGTCTTACTATTTTTCAGAAAGTACAAAGAAGGGATCCGTTGGCTACGAGGCTTTGTTCTTTAATCTGCTTTTGAGATCTTAGTAGAAAATAATTCAACAAATTGGATGAAAGTCCAACAGTTTGACTATTGCAGAATCATAAACTTGGGATTTTTTTTTTTTTTTTTGATACCTTAGAAATGATTAAGGGCACTTTGGGAGGCTGAGGTGGGTGGATCACCTGAGGTTAGGAGTTCAAGACCAACCTGACCAACATGTAGAAACCCATCTTTTATAAAAATACAAAATTAGCCAGGCATGGTGGCACATGCCTGTAATCCTAGCTAGGAGGCTGAGGCAGGAGCATCGCTTGAACCTGGACCTGGGAGGCGGGGGTTGCAGTGAGCTGAGATTGTGTCGTTGCACTCCAACCTAGACAGCAAGAGTGAAACTCCGTCTCAAAAAAAAAAAAAAAAAAAAAAAAAAAAAAAAAAAGAAAAGAAAGGAAGAAAAGAAATGATTTGAGTCAGTTTAGAGCTACTTATGATACAGTTTTACTGGTATAAGTGCTATTGTGGGGTCTAACTATAATACGTGTAAGAAAAACACAATACTAAATAGTTCCTGAGTGCCCTCTGTATATGTGAATATCCACATGCAGCAATGATTCCCGTGCTGACGAGGACACAGTAGATACACAGTAGGCACCGAGCTTCTCTCTTCATTTCACACCACAAACATTAATCAGGAATCACCTTTTTGGATGAGATTTGTTCAGCTGGCTGAATCTACCATTCACAGGCTGAAGAGCCAGCAGTCAAACCAGTTGCAGTTTGTTGACCTATGCCAATCATTTCAAATCCCCCCAAAAGTTGTTACTTTAGGTTTTTTGACAGCTGGATAAGATCAACTCTATGACATTTATTGGACAATTTGTAACTGATATGATCATGGCTAAAAATCTTACATGAACATCATGTAACCTACACAGATCAGGTATTAAGCTAAAGGATGCTTTTAGCCAAAGAACACATAAGGGGAAAAACGGGCTTGAGAAATACTTTGAAAGAAAAGAAGCTAAGCATACAACTTAGGGAGACTCAAAGAGATAGTATTTATTAATAAAAGGAAATGGGAACAATTTATGTTATCACAAGCAGCCAAGCCATATAAGAATGAAGATAATTTCTAATTGCAGTCAACAAACGAAAAAGAACAGCAGCAGCTTCTGTTTTGTAATCAATTTCATTCTCCTATACTTTCTTCCTACTGTTCTCCATTCAAATGCAGACTCATAAACAGCCACTCAAACACCAGTAATAACTAATTGACACTTTAGTGTCAAACTTGAATATTTAAATTAGTAGGTTTTGAGTACAACTCATCTGACCTGATTCTCCCACCCCCATTTCACAGACTCTGGGAATGGGAGAGGTCATGGTATGCTGCCCACTTTTGAAACCAGGCTATAACGATATATATATCCTTCAAGTCTTTTAATCTTCAATATTTGCTTACCTTGTATACATTATATGTGTGTTTATTAACAGAGGACACTATGAATATTTAAGAATGCACTTTATATATTACCTTATTTGCTCTTAATGGCAATCCCATGAGATAGTTATGGCAAAGCTACTATTGCCATTTTATTGATTAGGATACTGAGGTCAAAAGATGTAATGATTTGTGTAACCACCAAGAGAAACATCCAGGAAAATACTTGGGTGCCATCCTGTGTCTTTCATTTCTCCTGAAAGTGCACTGTTCCATTCTTTGGAACACTTTTCCCTTCTAATAATAGAAATTTTCAAAAATTATTATACTGTTTGGGCTGCATATTGAATGTAGCAAGGATAGAATATAGACAGATCTTACAGCTAGTACATTACCAGCCTGGAAATACACATTATTTTTGAATGAATGTGTCATAACTGAAATTAGTATCTTTCCACAGAAAATCACAGAAAACTAATAATACTCACAACTCATGATGGATTGCAGCAGTTGGATGAATTCTAAAGTGGAAATAAGCAACAGTTGGGGTTCAGATTTCCTGAATTTAAGGAATGATGTTTGCTAGTTTTCAGTAACATTTGCTGCTACACCCAGTCTTCTGGGGAACTAAACTCCTATTAGTCTTTTACCTACTGGCCAGTAACTGCCAACAGCAAGTCACAGAAAGATTTCCAAGGGAACTCTTTAGAGATGTATATTAAACAAGGTGCATGGGAATGCTGAAACACACTATGGGCTCTCAGCATAGCAAGGAAAGAAGTAGAAAGGATACCCCTCTAAGTTAAAAGAAAAAAGCATATAAGCTGGATAGCATTCAGTTGTGAATGTGATTGCTTTTCTGGAGAGCCTTTTACAAAAAAGAATTTTGGGTTTGGTGTCTGATTTTGATAATAGTAAGCATCTTTGCATAGAAAAGAGGAACTCCTACTTTGTCATAGTGAAGGTTTTCTAGGGTTGTGTCTGTCTTCTTCTGAGCCCTGATTGATGCATGTGTATTTTTATTAATAAATAACTTGTATTAGCAAACTGACTTGTATTAGCAAGTAAAATGAGAAAAAGTACTCCTTTAGTGTTTGCATCTTTTTCTATTTTTGGAACATATGAAGCAGTTTTTTTCTGAGTGTTTTCTAACTTTGGTCGTGTTTGAAAATAGCTTTGTAAAAGTACTTTTATAACTCAGAAAAAAATAAATGAGTGTCTGATGATAATCCCTACACATTTGAAGAACCAAGAATCTCTTGTTTGTATCAAACTAGAAAATCTGATTGTCATTTAAGCAGAATAGAAATCGACTTTCTGGGTTGTTGGGCTTTCAAAAAATCATTAGTCTAGAAAGTTCAGTTCTGTCCCTAAACCTATCCACTTGTCTCTCGTCATATATTTGGATTGCTGTAAAACATGACTGTATGTTTCTACCCAGCAGCTACATTCTTAAAGCAAGTAAACCAGGAACTCCAAAACACAAAATAAACACACATTCCTGGGCATGGTGGCTCACACCTATAATTCCAGCACATTGGGAGGCTGAGGCAGGTAGATCACCTGAGGTCAGGAGTTTGAGACCAGCCTGGCCAACATGGTGAAACCCCGTCTCTAGTAAACATACAAAAATTAGCTGGGTGTAGTGGCACATGCTTGTAATCCCAGCTACTTGGGAGGCTGAGGCAGAAGGATTGCTTGAACCTGGGAGGTGGAGGTTGCAGTGAGCTAAGTTTGTACCACTGCACTCCAGCCTGGGTAACAGAGCTCAAAAAATAAATAAAATAAAATAAAATATTAAAACCACACAAACCTTATTCTGGAAAGCAAAGGAGCTGCCTATGAGACGTTGTGCCTGAAAGCCACAGTGGCCAATTGGTAATGGAAAGTCAGATATGGGTTTACCCTACCTCAACTTGATTTAAATCCTCACCATCTCAGAGCAAGGCCAAGACTGACTGTGCATCTGTGCTTGACCATTTGACTCATATCTGGAGATTTGGGCTTGTAGAACACTGAACTGTAAGAAAATGGTGGAGTCAGGTGACTCGGCACTGGCCTGATGCCCAGGGGCTGGTTTAGACCTGAGCTGCGGCTAACCACATGCAACTTTCTGTCTGTGTTTCAGTTTCCTTTTTCATAAAATCAAAAAGTTTTTTGTTTTCCAGTGTCTTTTAGCAGTTGAACAGTTTTTTTTTTTTTAGTGAAATCATATATAAAGCCCCAATGCAGGAAACAGAAATGCAGATGTGTTTTCCTGGCACTGGGGATAGTGAAGCTGGAACCCAGTGAACCTCCCGTTAGTCCTCAGAACAGTCCCTGAGATCTGCAAACTCCCTTGGTTTTCCGGGAGACAATTGGAATATGCATCAAATAATTATTAGAGTCTAACATTCTAAAAATGTAACAATTGAAAACTTTCTGACAACCTATAGCTTATAAACGTAATGACCCAGGCAAGCAGTGCTTTGCTTCAAAATGGCACTAGAACTTTTGCACAGACTATTGTTGTAAAGAATGATTTCCAACTATCTGAGGAAAGGACTATTTTAAATGCTCCCCAGGAAGTTGGGTAAAGTCTCCTGACAGTGCTGGCAGTGTTGTCCCCAGACAGGTGTGAGATGACATACGACTCAGTAATTGTTAATAACTCTACCCTCTTTCCTACCTCAATCCCCAAAGGGTTTGAAACCAGAAAAGAATGGGTGTACTGCGTATAAAAGGGAGGGGTGCTATCTTCCTTGTCTCCTTTCTGGAAACTCTACCAAGCTGTGAAGATAATGATGGAGAAAGGCCGATGGTGACAGTAACTGGCCTAAAGAGGCAAACTTTGAATTCTACTGGTAGATAAATGGAAGTTGAGCAATCTCAGTTTAAAATAGTCTTTAAATTCTAAGTTCCAGATGTTCTCATTTGTTAAATCATTTGCAAATAGATCCTCCTCTGCATTTATTTGCAACGTCTTTGCTTTATTCTCTCTCTTTTTTTTTTTTTTTTTTTTTTTTTTTTTTTTTGAGACAGGGTCTCACTCTGTTTCCCAGGCTGGAGTTCAGTGGTGTGATCTTGGCTCACTGCACCCTCTGTTCCCCGGGCTCAAATGACCTTCCCACCTCAGCCTCCCAAGTAGCTGGGACTACAGGCATGCACCACCACACCTGGCTAATTTTTGTATTTTAGTAGAGATGGAGTTTTGCTTTGTTGGCCAGGCTAGTCTCAAATTTCTGACCTCAAATGATCCACCCACCTTGGCTTCCCAAAGTGCTGGGATTACAGGCGTGAGCCACCATGCCTGGCCCTACTTTATTCTTCTCTTGCATGACCACAGGATACTTTCTAACTTAGCAAATTCTGGCACAATACTCAAATTGTTCTCAACTAGGGTGCCTTATGACTGCCCGCCGTGCCCGCCGTATGCATTCAAAGTCATATGCAAATATGCTGAAGAATCCTATGCCTGCAGAAAAAGCTAAAACAAGTTTTTTCCCATTTTTACAAATGAAGCATCCCTTTGGGCCTGTGGAGAATCACGTGTGTTTTATAAAGGAATGCAACTTAGCCACCGACTAGTTAATTGTCTTTATTAATCAAAAATGAAGAGGGTTTCTCAGCTTTGAACTGCATCATTGAAATGCCAAGGCAAAGCATTTGTAGTTCCTGAAGGTCTTATTCAAGAGCAAATCAACTATGTATGAATTGTGGCAGGTTTTATAGCTGCTTCCCAGAAAGAGCATGGTTTATTTATATTTTTTGATTCCTTCCCGGTATGGTGTGTATTATAAAGGGAATTCAGCAAGGCAGGCCATAATGGAGGAAGAACATTTTTATTGGAGTAGGTTTTTTGTCTGTGAAATAGCTTAAACCTTCCTCCATTCTGCTCTGCTTGCATTCTGATACTAGCCAGAGCCTGTTTAAAATACTTGTGGTCAATGTTTATTAAACTGTGGTTCTTCTATAGTATGTAAATTGGTTATTAAGTACTGTGGTTATAAATCACTTGGAGAGCCTCATAACATTTTTACTGGCTTGTTCTGTTCTGTGTTCCTATTCATAGGATATCAATAACAAGAGTGACAGCTGACATTTCTCTTGCTAAGAGGTCTGTCCTAAATAATCCCAGCAAGAGAGCAATAATTGAACGTTCGAACACCCGGTCCAGCTTAGGTAAGATGTTCAAATGTGGTACTTCTTCAACCTGTGCTTACAGACCTGGCTGACACATGGTGCATTTGTGAATGTCTTTTCCAATTTGTTCCCCATTCTAAATGGGGGAGCACTGAGTACCTGAAGAGAACGCTAGCTATGGGCAAGAAGACAGCAGAGTCTTGCAGTAGCCAGAGCCTGCTGTCTCTCAGCTTTAGTCAATTAGCTAATTAGTAGTCTGGTAGGAAGACACCTCAACAAGCTCTCCTAGTCTTTTCCTGCCTAACCACGTGAAACTATTCATCTCTGCTTCGCTCGGCTTCTCAATGAGGCTAATGATATTTGTCATACCTGAGTTATATCTGACATGAAAGGAAATGAGGTGTACAGCCTTCTGAGATCTTTAGAAAAGCTAGATAGTGGTGTTCTTGGTCTTGCTTCCGCTGCTGGCTGTTAGCATACAGAATGACATTTTAAGAGGAAATGGCAATTACCATTAGTAACATACAGAGACTTTAAACATGTCTTTCCTGGGGTACCAGTCAGAAAGCATCCTAAAATTCCCATGATGGAGGAAAAAAAAAGGCTGTAAGTGAGTACCTCCATCAAGCCATAGGTGAGCAGGGCTGTGGAAGATGGCATCACCACCCACAGAAGTGAGTCCTAGTGCTAGCGAATCACATCGTTCATCTTGAAAGCCTGTTCATGGTCTCCCTGATTGCCAAGGGTGGTGTAGTTCACTCATGACTTCTAGAATTCTCTTTACATTCACATTCTGAGGGCAACTTGTTTTGACTAGGAAGGACAGATAGGGCTCTTCCATGCCTTACATTTTTTAAACTGTTAAAATTAGCTCTGTAGATGATAGAAAACAAAATAAAATAAAGATTTCCAAGATAGAGTGCACGCCCTAACATCACATTAAGAACCTGCTGACCTTGAGCCAAAGATTGTGCAATTTGTAAAGATGGTACCAAGTATCATCTGTGTATTCCTGACATGGGATTGACATATGATAATCGCTAATAAATGTTTGTTGGATGGTTGCTTTGTGAAAGAATACTGAACATACCAAATGGAATAGTGGTCAGTGCTTGCGAGGGGAAGATCCCAGCGATTAGTGGTTCCTTCTTTAGTCTTGTATTCAGAGCCTCCCACATGCAGAGGGAAACATGCTTAAAGGCACAGTATTTTGATCGTGGCAGTGTGGATGGTGAATCCTATTAGGTAATGACTAAAGTCAAATATCATGGGTGACAAGGACATTAAGTTAGATTGAAGATTTCTCAAGCAAGCATCCATTCTCTGCTCTCCTGTCTTTACCCTTTTTGGAACTCCTCATAGTGTCTTTGGCTTTTAACTATTCCTTCTTCTAATATATAATGAGAGGCTAAAAGATACTTAAAAGCTTGAGCCAGGTTGTCTGACTCCTTTAACCATTGACACTTGCCAAGGACTTCACGGGTATTCACTGAAGTCATTCCTTACTCTAGTCCCCTACTGTCAGAGTCAGTGGGGTGGGTGGGACGAGTTAGTGTAAACAGAAACAAAATCTATCTCAGCTCATAGTTCTTACCTTTACTCTGTAAAGTCATATACCCACAACCATTGGAGTTAATTTCATGGCAATCTATTAATATTATAATCATGGTATGATCCATTTGTGTGCTTGTTAATGTACATTTGTAGAATCTCTCATCAAATGTTTATTAAACACTTGGTCTGTGCCATGCATTATGCTAGACTTAGAAAATACAGACATAACCCACACACAGTATCTTACCCATGGGCAAAGAGACAGAAGGGACAGAAACTTAGAATACTCTGTGACAGTAGAATTACGAACAAAGAGCTAGGGGTATAAAGAAGAGTAGGGGGTAAGACACGTGTGAGAAGACCTCTCAGAAGTTATATTTGAGCCAGTTCTTCAAGGCAGGCAACAATGTACAAAGGCATCGACTTGTAAACAAAAATGTGTTGTTGAGAAACAAGTAGATTTGTGTATAGCATGCTTAGAACAGAGAAGTTGGGGGTGTGATTTGAGAGGAACAGAAGAGACTGAAAGAGACTGAGGCCGACATGTTAGGATTCTAATGTGCCTTGCTGAAGAGACCTCCAAAATAGATCCCATGCAATGTTAATTTTACAACATAGTAAGAGTTGTTACATTCAGAATGTTTTCCATTGTCAAATAAATTTGGAAATGATGAATTAAACTTACAGGTTTCTTCTCTGCAGGACTTCTTAGAGCCTTGAAGATATGAAGGGTAATGCATGTTTGAAATTCTAAAGAGAAGCTATTATAATATGCAATACATCCCTTGCACAAAACCACCTTCTTCTCATTGGATGTCTTATGAGATTACTGTTCTAGAGTACTCACTTTGGAAAATGTTGCTTTTGGCCCTGGGGAGCCATTGAAGTGTTTGAAGCATAGGAGAAATAGGAACAGGTTTGGATATAAGGAAAATCATTTGTGACAGAGATCCTGCAGAGAGATGGGCCCAGATCAGTCATGGTCAGTCTATAGAAGTGTTCATCGAGGTCCTCCAGCCTCATAGTCTGTAACTCCCCAGGGTTTCATTTGACTAGAATACGATTATGAGGAAACTTTCATTGGAACCCCTCTGAGGATCAGTTTGGGTAGCCAAGATTCTTTGGTTTGGCTGAGATCTTTTTCTTTAAAAAAAAAAAAATGAGCTATGTAGATAAATATGCCTTACACATAAAATGTATTTATTACATTTTATGTAATATGTATACATTCTGTATACATATTACCCAAATGTGGGGCTCACCCCAGTATTTAATGTGGCCTTCTGCAGCATCCCTTCTGGCTTACTCTGCCCGAGCACCTCTCTTCTTCTGCCCAACTGCCCCTTGCTTCAGAGTTTTGTGTTGGTTAAGCAGTAGGTGTGACTGCCCTCTGCTCCTGGCAGAAACCACACTTAACCTCATTGCTAGTGCACAGCAAATAGGGCCCAGGTATTTCTGAATTATTTACACAGAAACTCAGAGTGCCTTGAGGGCCATTTGTACCAGGCAGTCCAGTTTATGTCAATGTCTTTTTGCTGCTTCCAAAAATACTAGACTCATATTTGAAGCTTAAGCAAACATAGGCTTGCTCACATACAGTCCTGGCCAGAAGCTCCCATAAGCCAGTGACAATTTAATGAAAAGAGCAAATGGAGAACATACCCCAACATCCTGAGACTGAAATTTACTGCAGTAAAATTTGACTTTACTTTCCAAACTTCCTTCTGAAGAAACATTTCTTTTAAAAATGTTTCTGACATGTGAGGAAAAAATGGGACAAATATGCTATTACTAACAAACGTGGAATATGATTTCAGAAGAATTTGGCAAAATAAGCCCATTTTATTTTCACTGATATTTTGAAAGCTAGTCACCTTTCCAAGCAATGTGAAGTCTTTCAGGCTGTTGGTATTAGATAACATGGAAAGTGATAGATATATTGACTCTTCAAATTCATCTTTTTAGTAAAAGGCGAAAGACTTATTTGTTATGAAGATAAACCAGAGCATAAATTCATTCTTTTTAATACTGATATGCCTGAAACTTCAATGATTCTATGGGAAATAAGAATTTTATGCAATCATGCAAAACACGAGAAAATAGAGTTTCGTGATAGTCTTGAGTATACATGACCCTGTGCACCCTGTCAATCCTTTTGGTTAAGGAAGGGAGAATTTTCTGGTGGGCAATGTGAACTTGAATTTACACTAAATAAGCAAAGCAGATCACAAACACTTTTCAGTGGGGATATTTAGAGCAACATTACCTTTTCCCTAGGCCATCATTAGGATAATTTAAGACTGGGCACAGTGACTCACACCTGTGATGCTGACACGTCAGGAGGCCAAGGCAGAAGGATTCCTTGGACTTCGGAGTTCAAGACCAGCCTGGGAAACATACTAAGACCCTGTCTCTACAAAAAAATTAAAAAATTTAGTCAGGCACAGTGATGTGCCCCTGTAGTCCCAGCTACTCAGGAAGCTGAGGTGGGAGGATCAATTGTACCCAGAAAGTTGAGGCTATAGTGAGCCATGATTGAATCACTGTACTCCAGCATGGGCCACAGAATTAGACTCTGCCCCTAAAAATTAATAATAATAATAATTTAAATTAGATAGGTTTGTCTACTCTATGTACTTTGGGCCAGATTACAGCATTGTTTGGTCACGCCTATAGCCAAAAAATAAAAAACAAAATCAGCTGGGCACAGTGGCTCATGTCTGTGGTCCTAGCACTTTGGGATGCCAAGGTGGGTGGATCACTGGAGATCAGGAGTTCGGGAGTTCAAGACCAGCCTGGCCAACATGGTGAAACCCCACCTCTACTAATAATACAAAAATTAGCCAGGCATGGTGGCGCATGCCTGTAATCCCAGTTATGTGGGAGGCTGAGGCACAAGAATTGCTTGAACCTGGGAGGTGGAGGTTACAATGAGCCAAGATCATGCCACTGCACTCCAGCCTGAGCAACAGAATAAAACTCCGTCTCAAAAACAAAAACAAAATTATCTGGACATCAAATAGTATAATTCTGACTTTGGGCATGATCCAATAAATCAGGTAATTTATAATATATATATATAAACTTTTTTATATTTCAGAAAGCCATGTCCTATTTTGCTTATCTGTTTTCCTTTAAAAAAACAAAACAAGCCGGGCGCGGTGGCTCAAGCCTGTAATCCCAGCACTTTGGGAGGCCGAGGCGGGTGGATCACAAGGTCAAGAGATCAAGACCACCCTGGTCAACATGGTGAAACCCCGTCTCTACTAAAAATACAAAAAAAATTAGCTGGGCATGGTGGTGCGTGCCTGTAATCCCAGCTACTCAGGAGGCTGAGGCAGGAGAATTGCCTGAACCCAGGAGGCGGAGGTTGCGGTGAGCCGGGATCGCGCCATTGCACTCCAGCCTGGGTAACAAGAGTGAAACTCCGTCTCAAAAACAAAACAAAACAAAACAAAACAAACTGGCCGGGCGCGGTGGCTCAAGCCTGTAATCCCAGCACTTTGGGAGGCCAAGGCGGATGGATCACGAGGTCAAGAGATCAAGACCATCCTGGTCAACAAGGTGAAACTCCGTCTCTACTAAAAAAATACAAAAAATTAGCTGGGCATGGTTGTGCGTGCCTGTAATCCCAGCTGCTCAGGAGGCTGAGACAGGAGAATTGCCTGAACCCAGGAGGCGGAGGTTGCGGTGAGCCGAGATCGTGCCATTGCACTCCAGCCCGGGTAACAAGAGCGAAACTCCGTCTCAAAAAAAAAAAAAAAAACTGGATTGCTTCAGACATTTGAAAATAAGTAGATTTTTCGTTTGACTAGACTCGTGCACAGTTTTGGGTCATTTGCCTATTACAGCCAGCCAGATAGATTTGCATCTAGATGTATTGCAGTGTTTTAATATAGTTGGCCTCACTTTTTTTTAATACTCAAGCTAATTATGCCTTAGAACAAGTGACTTGGCTCTCATACTTAAATCTAACCAGTCTTAGTAACATGATTAGTTTTAAGGGTAGACTCAGAACAATCAACCAGTAGTACAAAAATGTGCATATCAGTCAAAACAGATGAGTTGCAGGTTTTTTGTTTTGTTTTTGTTTTTGTTTTAAACGTACTCACAAAGTATTAGTATATACTTTGTTGATAGAAATATTTCATTGTAATTTGCTTTCCATGTGATATTGCTTTGCACGTGTATTTCAATTGTTTTCTAAATGTGGTTTCAGCTTCTATGGCTAACATTGAAGTTCTTTAGGACAAAGAAACAATCAAAAACAACATAAAAGAATCATCATAGGTATATAAATAGCTAAATATTATGTTGAATAGAAGAAGCAAACCATGAGAGCCATCTCAGACTTTTCTACCAACTGGTTGTATGCAAAACTCAACCCATCTCCATCTATATTTAGAAAAGATCTTAAATTAGACAGGACTACAAAAATTTTAAATGTTTTGTTTTGTAATGTAGACCAATATATCTGAAAATATACTATATCTTTTTTATGTAAGAACTAATTCATAACAATAACCAGGATCTATTTATTATTTTTCCTTTTAGCGGAAGTACAAAGTGAAATTGAAAGAATCTTTGAGTTGGCAAGATCTTTGCAACTGGTTGTTCTTGATGCAGACACCATCAATCACCCAGCACAACTTATAAAGACTTCCTTAGCACCGATTATTGTTCATGTAAAAGTCTCATCTCCAAAGGTGATTAGCTCCTTTCTGTCTTTTTTATATATATATATATATTTATCATTCTTGACTTTGAAAGCTCCTTTCTGTCTTAAGGGTTAGAAGTGCATCTTTTAAAAATGTGCTTTGCTCTGTGGATTTTGGTTAGTGGACAAGGAGAATGTCTTGCTGATTATTAATAAGTATATTTAAAATCTTTCCACAGTGTACAGATTCTATGAATTTTCAGAAAGCAAAGACTGTAATAGTTCTTTTTCTTCTAAAAGCTACTATTATGGATCCCAACCAGACAGTTATGCAAGTGTATAATAGAAACAAAACATTAAGGCAGATGTGGAAAAGTAGATTCTGGCTTATCACAGATTATGAATTCTATATTGGTAAATTTCTTGAATATTGATTCCTGTATCACCCAGACTCTGTACCCAGTTGAGACAGTACATTTATATTGATCAAAAAAGGCATCTCTGTTGATCATATATAAAATAGAGTATCACTGTTTAAACATCTGTTATGGAAACATTATAGACACTGACATTTAAAGAATATAGTTATTCCATGATAAACACAATGGGAAATTTACTGTGTATCTTGATGCCATTGTGGGAGGTAAAAATAAAAGTGAAATAGCCCCACATTGGTTTCTTTTGATTTGGGTGTTCTTTCATTTTTAAAAAAGGATATTGTTAAAAAACTTAATGTGAAATGGATACCCTTGGGAAGTACTATCTTAATAATCAGTTTCTTGTCTGTGCCTCCTATTGTACTTTGGTTCCTAAATACAAATTCAACTGCCAACCAACATGACAGTCTCCTCTTATGGGTGGAGAATGTCTAAAGAAGCTGTACACTCCTCCAGATTTTCTGAGATCCTAGCCTTCTATCTATCTCTGCAGACACTGCTTTGGTGCAGTAGACTTGGGAATCCTGAGCACACAGGGTCATTTGAGAATCGGTAGAATGAATCAAAAGTGCTTCTGGGATTCAAGCACTTCACTGCAGTGTAGAAGTGGTCAGCCCTTCCCACTGCCCATGACATGATGGTGTCCTTAAGTGTAAGAACAGGGGTTCTGGGGTATTATAGAGCTCATAGATTAGCACTGTTTGCAGGGGAAGGGCCAAGGGAGATGGCAGTCTATAGCCAAATGCAGTTACAGCAGTAGCCAAAAGACATAGCTATATCACTGGTTTACATGTAGCAGTATACCAATACAACTGTTTTGTCTGGATCTCCAATCACGGAATAGTCTGATTAATTTAAAATTAAACTGAAATGTCTCATTAATAATCAGTGACAAAAATAACAAACATGTAAATGACTCTGACATTTATCTGACGTGGAGAGAGTGAGCTGAAACATTATTCAACTGAGTAATTTTTAAATATTACTTAACATAAACAACCTGGTATAGTCCATTCCCTCCATTGTTGCAGGGCTCTCTTTGAAATCTCTGAGGAAAATCTAGGGTGAAAACTCGGGCTCCTACTGAGACCTGTTAGATTAGGATGAACTTATCAAATCCATGGTAACTGAAAGCAAATGTAAGCAGATGACATCATCACAGGTTTAACTATATGATTTCTCACACTGTATTTCCTCTCTAATAATACTCAGGGCCAAACAGACCATTAAAAAGATCCTGGTTTATTTGATTTTTCTTTCAACTCATCTACAATACCTCAGGTTTATGTCTTCTTCTATCAGGTTTTACAGCGGTTGATTAAATCTAGAGGAAAGTCACAAAGTAAACACTTGAATGTTCAACTGGTGGCAGCCGATAAACTTGCACAATGCCCCCCAGTAAGTATGATCATTTTTTGTCTTAATCATCCTTGACTGGTTAGAACAGGATTTTTTTTTTTTCATGTTGTTGTTTTCATTCTAAAATGATGGTGATGATGGTATGTTGTCATCTGAAGGATTTCCTGGAACAAACTGTTGCTGTTATGTTACTTGTACTCAGGCAACCAGATATGGATGGTATTTGCCTTATAATAAGAAATGAACTTAGTGCCGGGGGTCTGCTCTCCTCACTGCTACCTTGTTTGCTTTGCAAACATGCAGCAAACCACTTAGCATCCAGCCTCCAGTCATGTGGGCATGCTTAAGAAAATAACAAAAGAAAACATACCAATTTGATCTTCTTTTAACTTTTCTGCAAGAAAATTCTAGCAGGCATAAAAGACGATGACACTGAAGGTCAAGAATTGATTGGAACTAGAGAGGCCCTGTGGTTAGAGTAGATGAAAGAGTCAGGGCTGAGCGAGATGAAAAATGAAATTACAGCAACTCTTTTTCTAATGCCATTGCCAGAAAACAGCTGCTGGGTTGGAAGGTGAGCAGTGGCGGGCTGGGCTGGGAGAGGGAAATGCTATCACGCGGCACTGGGTCCCCAGTGGCCAGTCAGTCTCACCTCTTTTTCCGCTGACTTACTATTTCTATGCCTATGTTTCTGTAAAGGAAATAACTGTCCTTCTTACTCAATGGATTCACTAGATTGTTTTATATACTTGTGTAGGATGGTTTAAACTCTATGGAAGCATAAAATCTGATTCAAGTGTTTAGAGAGGCAACACAGCATAACCAGTTAAAGCACAGACTCTGGAGCCAGGTATTTGGGTTTTGAATCCACACTAATGAGTTACGTAATCTTGGGCAAGTACCTATCTCATGGGATTGGTGTAAGGATTGAGTGAGTGAATATGTGGTAAAGCTGATAGAACAGTGCCAGGCACATAAGAAGCATCATCTAAGTTTTCTTATTATAATTACTGGATACATTTTGCGTGATGCCACGTCTGGTCTGGTAGACTCTATAAGAACCTGTGCCTCTCTGGCTCACTGTTGTATGTCAGTTCCCTATCATAGTAGACCCATAATATATATTTGTTGAATGAGTGAATGAATGAATATTCAAATGATAAGAATATAATGCATCCTTTCATTAGATGATTACAATGGACCAGTGTGCTAGATACTTTACATAGACTACCTCTAATCTTCACAGTTACCTAGTAAGATAGGCCTATTTTATAGTTTAGGCAACTGAAAACAGAGATTAAATAATCTCCCTAAGGTGACATAGCAAATTAGGATTCAATCTATTCTAGATCTGTCTGGCTCCAAAGACAATTTCCTACCCCCTAATTCCATCCACCCTCACACACACGTACCTGATTACCTACCCTGAAGATAATTTGGATAGCTTGGAGTATGCAGTGCTCTGTTAAGAAGTTTAACTTCACGCTGCCTGATAATGAAGCCCAGTTACACAGTGAAATGTATAATTAAAGCACTGATCAGATACAGAAGAATGTATTGCCCAGCCCTGACCCTAGTTACATAGTTGAAGGAAGATAATCTTTGTTGTCTAGCTATCGAAAGCTAGGAACTATGTTATTATTTCCAGTTTTTAGTACAATCTTATAAGGGTAGTTATATCAGTTTGGTCTTCTGGGAAGCAGACGGAATTAGAAGTCTAAGAGATTTATTGGAGAAATTTTATTTTTATGAAAATAAGTTTATTAACATTTATTCTAATAATTACTAGAGAAAATTCTTGTGTCCTATTAAATTTGAGGGATTTTAGCTGCTGAGAGTAGTTGTACATATAATATGGTTTGTTACATCTGAAATAGCTAGAACCAAGAAAAGATATGTGTATCTGTAAAAGCAAGTAATATCATGAGCCTTAGGACTTGTGCCCAGGTCAGAGATTTCAAGCAGCTCCATGACTGGAAAGACAGCCTTGGCCTATCATTAACTCAGTAGGATAAACACTTTCTCTTTTTATATCATTGGTAAGATAACCTGGAATTTTAAACAGGCAGTCTACATAGGTAAGCTTACCTTGTACTTACCATTTTCTAAACAGTTTACTTTATTAAACATGTTTAATTGATATCGCACAGACAGTATTAATGCTGAGAAGGAATTGTATCTTCTATTTTGGCATGTGTGAAGAAATCTTTGGATTATAAAACCCAGTATCTTAAAATGTATCTGCATTTGCCCCTGCTTTATTTCAAGACCATAATTATAATTGTCATCCAAAGATTGGTGATCACCATGTCATTTTAATTTGCAACTTACTTAATTGGCCACAGTTATCTCCAGTCTGAAAAGTCAGCAAATTACATCAGCAAAGTATCACATTGCTAAGAAATGAAAGGCAACAGTTTTTGGAAAGAGAAGTCTATAAGAGCACTGAAGAAAGTTAACTCAGGCTGGGCGCGGTGGCTCACGCCTGTGATCCCAGCACTTTGGGAGGCGAAGGCAGGTGGATCACAAGATCAAGAGATTGACAGCATCCTGGCCAACATGGTGAAATCTTGTCTCTACTAAAAATACAAAAATTAGCTGGGCGTGGTGGCTTGCACCTGTAGTCCCAGCTACTCGGGAGGCTGAGGCAGGAGAATCACTTGAACCCAGGAGGCAGAGGTTGCAGTGAGCCAAGACTGCGCCACTGCACTCCAGTGTGGGTGTTAGAGCGAGACTCTGTCTCAAAAAAAAAAAAAAAAAGTTAACTCTGTAGCTAGAAGAATTAATCCTAGATCCAGAGACAAATGAAGCAAAAAGGGACTTTAAAGATTACCCAACATACTATTTCCTAGAATATATTATTTACAATATGGGTCCCATGTGATATCAATAAGTGTTATGAGGAAATAATTCCGATACCAAAAGTGTTTGAGAAAACACTTAGGTGAACAAATCTAGTTTGATTTCTTTACTACAGAATCCTGAATACACTAATGTGTATTTTACATCTCCAATAGGACAAATAGTATGTAGAACCTCCCGTAAAATTGTGACTGTAGATCTGCTTTTCCATTGATCATCCAACGGGTCCAGTGAAACATGTCTAGGGAAAGACTGACTTAGTCCAGTCTCCTCATTTTACAAATGAGGGAACTGAGACCAAGAGAACTAGCTTTTCAAAGGTTTTATGCCTGGGCCAAAGTCAGCTTAAGATCTCCTTCTCCTAGTCTAGCAAGACTTTAGATAATGAATGGCAACAGGTCAGTTATATATTCTCCTGGAAAGAAAAGTATGGGTTTCATGGATAAGGATTTTTCTAGGTGAGAGATAAGTAACCTTTTCAAGTAAGTAAAGGGCCAGATAGTGATATCTTAGGCTTTGTTGGCTATATAGACTCCTTTGCAAAACTACTCATCTCTGCTTTTGTAGCAGGAAAGCAAACAGACAGTGTGTGAACAAATGGGTATAGCTGTATTCCAATCAAACTTCGTAGAAGCATGAGGCAGGCCTGATTTAGCCAGCAAACTGAAGTTGCCATCTTGTTCTAGGACCAAGCTATGGTTATCCATTACTTTGCAATAAAATAACCCCCAAAACATAGTGACTTCAAACAATGGCCGCTTGTGGTATTCAACAGGTGGCTGACCTGGTCCCTTTGCAGGAATGGCTGAAGGTTGGGCTCAGCCAGCTCTTTTTGGATACAGGCTTCTTACATGGCAGCCCCCAGGCTCCAAGAGCAAACATTTCAATCTCTTAAGGCCTGGGCATAGATATCAGACCTCGTCATTTTCACAGCATTCTGCTTATCAAAATAGTCACAAAGAGTTGGGTGCAGTGGAAAGTACCTGTAGTCCCAGCTACTCAAGAGCTTGAAGCAGGAGGATCACTTGAGCCCAGGAGTTCAAGGCTGCACTGAGCTATGATTGTGCCACTGCCCTTCAACCTGGGAGACATACCGAGACCCTGTCTCTAAAAAGACATTTTTTAAAATTAGCTGGGTGTGGCTGGCTGCGGTGGCTCATGCCTGTAATCCCAGCACTTTGGAAGGCCGAGATGGGCAGATCACCTGAGGTCGGGAGTTTGAGACCAGCCTGACCAACATGGAGAAACCCCGTCTCTACTAAAAATACAAAATTAGCCAGGCGTCATGGCACATGCCTGTAATCCCAGCTACTCAGGCTCAGGAGGCTGAGGCAGGAGAATCATTTGAACCCGGGAGGCGGAGGTTGTGGTGAACCAAGATTGTGTCATTGCACTCCAGCCTAGGCAATAAGAGCAAAACTCTGTCTCAAAAAAAAAAAAAAAAGCTGGGCGTAGTCCTAGCTATTTGGTAGGCTGAGGTAGGAGAATTGCTTGAACCCAGGGGTTTGGAGCTGTAGTGAGCCAGGATTATGCCACTGCATGCCACCCAACAGAGTAAGATATTGTCTCTTAAAAAAAAAAAAAAAAAGGTCAGAGGCTGCCTAAATTCAAGGAGAGGTAATATAACTCTCCATCTCCATGTAGGCAGTGTCAAGGCATTTGTGACCATTTAAAACTGTCATAGACAGTAAGATGAGCAGGGAAAATGGGCTGCTGGATAGTTCTACTTTGAAAGAGAAAGAACTTTCCTCTCGTTGCCCATTTGGGATTCACAGAAGAAAAGCTGGGATGCCGATGAAAGGAGGCCTATGGGAATAGGACCTGCAAACCCATCTCACTTTTTTCTTTTTTCTTTCTTTCTTTCTTTTTTTTTTTTTTTTCTGAGACAGAGTTTCGCTCGTTACCCAGGCTGGAGTGCAATGGCGCGATCTCGGCTCACCGCAACCTCCGCCTCCTGGGTTCAGGCAATTCTCCTGCCTCAGCCTCCTGAGTAGCTGGGATTACAGGCACACGCCACCATGCCCAGCTAATTTTTTGTATTTTTAGTAGAGACGGGGTTTCACCATGTTGACCAGGATGGCCTCAATCTTTTGACCTCATGATCTACCTGCCTCGGCCTCCCAAAGTGCTGGGATTACAGGCTTGAGCCACCACGCCCAGCCTGTTCACTTTTTTTA